GGTTCTCCAGTAGCAATGATGAATACCAAACAGGTTCTAATACCTGTACGATGATGCAGCCTGCGGCGGTGCTGGTGGGAGCCGGTTTGGCGTGGTGCGACGGTTGCTGCCGCCAGATCCAGAAGAATCCTCACCGTTCTGAGCTGGATCACTGTAACGTCGGCTATGACCACCAGATCCGTACCTCTTCAATGAGTCAGCTCCACTAGCAGCTGCATTAAACGCATTCATCCAATCCTCCCCTGAAGACCCTCCATTGGTTCTCGGGCTGCTTTCTGCAAATAAATAGAACGCACAAACGACACAAGAAAATGTATCAATATTGCGGTTACATGTTAGCAATATATGGAAAGCGAAGATTTGTGTATTATACCAGTGCCGCTGTCAGACCAGCTTGAAGCAGCAGCTGCTCGGTTATCGTGAACGCTAAGCTGCCTTGTGAGCTTTGAAAGAAGAGAGGACTGCTTCTGGTAACGGTCTCTTCGCCTTTTGACATTTTGATCCTCTTGAATCAACGATTCAATCCTCTCATTACCTATTGCGCTGCAGATAAATGGAAGAGAGAGACAGATAAGCACCACACCATAACTGTATTAAGTTACAATAATATATCGGGAACGTTATGAAACCTGATAGAACTGTATAGCTGATTCAGCATGTCTTCCTTTGATTTCTCCACTTGACAGAGAACAACGGCCTGTTGAAGTTATGTGATTTGAGTAAGTTAAAGCGAGTTGGACATTGGAAGTTAAAGTTCCACAAGATTAGTAATTAGACCACCTTTGGAACATTTGCAGCTAGGCTGTTGAGTACAGCTTCAACATAACCCCGTACTTCTTGGGACATCCACCGCAATTCCTCTTCCGGGTCAACCGGTTTCCTTACCATCTTATCCTGAGAAAGAAAAGAAAAGCAGTCAACCAAAGCAAAACCATAATTTACCACCACGTCATGGAAACTAAATGACTTACATGTCCAAACAAAACAATCTCCAATGTTTCAGTATAACAAAATCTCTACCGATAAAAAATGTCAACCCTCTTCAAGTATGACCCACAAAGACATCAGTTTTTTACTCATTCAACGGCTGCTTAAATATTTACTTTCTCTAATGGGCCTTTCAAGCCATATAGAAAATTTATAATAAAGACTTGATCATCATGATATTTGTACTGGATTAAGATCAGCTAAACGATATATTGCAGAGTTTTAACTTTTGAGGGAAAGGGATAAGAAAAATCACTGAATAATCAGATAGTTTCCTTCAGTGACTTACAAGTGAACCTTCTGAAAGACTTTGTCTCATGGAAGCACCACCCACTTGGCCTCCTCGGGCCTGGATAACCTTTTGCAGCTTATTGATCCATTCATTCTTATCGACCATGCTCTCGGCCTTAAGAACCAGAGCATTGTGAGCTGCAACATAAGAGCTTTTGAGGAGTTGTTCATATAAAGGAGCAGCAAGAGAGTCAAGCAGCTAATTTTAATAATCGCTTGACAAACCTTTAAGTACAGTCTTATATGGAACCCTGCATGTTATCTTAAATACAAGGCCGGGTCCTTTTGAATCAGGTCCATTTGCTTTCTTATCTTTCGAGCTCTTTGATTTTTCTCCTTCATCATCAGAAATTTCTTCGATACTGCATTCCTGAGAATTGAATATTGTACCTCAATAAAATTGCAAAAGGCTAACTGTTGTTTATGAAGCATCCAGGTTATCTCAACAGCAGTAATGGTAATAAATCGTTTTGCAGAGTACGCTTCACAATTACAAGTAATCATCACTCTGCTCAAAGGATCAGGTGTGGAAGAGCAACGTATATGAAACCATATTGTTACTCATTTAATTGCAGTTACATCTTCGACCAAGAGAAAGTAAACATTTCGCGAGAATGATACCTCCAAAGTTACAGTGCCGCGGAAGTTTCTTTCTTCTTGCTTTTTCGTATAACCAAGCTGAAAAAGGTAAATGCAAAGGCATCAATTCAATACAAACTATAAAAAATGTTCTAGAAAAAGAGACAAAATTCAAAATTGTAAGGGGTAATTACTGCTAGCATTACAGTTATAACTAAACTCAACACAGCTTTCTCCTTTGCAAATACATATTTGGATCAACTCCTGAAGGATATTTGTGATAAACGCTAACCTTTCCAGTTTTTTCGTTCAGAACAAACCATCGCCTACTCCACCCATTTGTCTTTGCACTTTTCTTCATTAAGTATCCTGCACGACAGAGTAAAGTTTAGTTGAATACCTTGGAAGTTGGTTTTTATAATAAACAAAAACCAAGAAAGTTCATCATACACTAGTCAACGTCAAGTGACCAAAAAAAAAAAGGAGATCACAAAATTGGACAGGAAGAAAAGCTTGGAAGTTGTTTTTTTAATAACAAGCAATGTGTCAAGAAAAGCTGATCCTACACCAGTTCAAAGCTTATATGGCGGAAAAGAAGAAGAAATCATGCAATTGAACTGCCAGATAAGCTTAGCAGCAGTAAAAGCATGCAACAAAAGGAAAGTGGATCTGGGTAGGATTTAAATCTTGATAGAATTAAAGAAACGAGCAAAAAGAATTTCGTTAGACAGCCACCGTGTAGAAGTATATTAGAATACGGACCTGCTGTTATCTCCCCCTCAGGTCCAGCAGTCTTCAGACCAGAGACCTCCGGCGTTTCC